TTTTTTTTTTTTTTTTTTAATTGCAAGTTCAAAATTTATTCGGTGCCTTGGATTTGTAGTTGGCGCATAGAACAAGATATTTAAAAGTTCCCAAATTTTTTTAGTTTCTCGAAAATTAAAGAGCACATTAATTGTAAAAGGATTTAGTTTCACAGTGATATGGTTTAAATTTGAAAACTATGGATTCTAAGGACCCAGGAGTTCCAAATTTCGGTGTCCTTTTTACTAAAAGTTGGTCCCTTTGGAAAATAGTAAAAGTCTATGCTTTAAGGACATAAATAAATAATATTTAGGAAAAGGATGGGATTAGTAATTGATTCAGTAATGATAATTCAACAAAGGATTAAAGCCAAAATTTCTATAACAATTGAACTCATAATTTTCATTTTTTGCTCCTGATAAGAATTTTTTTCTTGGGTTTAATTTTTTTTTTTAAATTTACATCAATATATAGAATCATTTTGTTTAATAGGAAGGAATGAAGAATTGCATAACTTTTTATGTCCTCTCTATTTTCAGCAGATTTGACATGCTGTAATGTTTATGTAAAATCACTTGTTTCTTAATATTACGAAAACTAATCATTTTTATTCTTCTTCAGCAAGATGGATTGGGCTTCTTCTGAATGGAAGCAGAACTTGACTCCACTTGCTGTTCAAAAAGTAAATGCTTTAGAGGAGAAAGTTCAAAGATTGCAAAAAGAAAGAGACCAGAAACAGATTAGATTAGACTGGCTAAATGTGGAATTAGAGAAAGAGCAGCGTAAAGTAATTAATATTTTGTTGTTTGTTTTACTATGTTTACATTACACAAAAAAAATTTCAGCGTTTTTTAAACTATTATTTAAACAAAAATTATTTATAGGTTGAAAAAAAGAATCAAGATACTTTAAATGCTCAAAAAGAATTACAATCAGTTGAAAATGTCTGCAAAGATTTGGAAAGCAAACATCAAAAGCTTATGGCTGAACTACAAAATAGAGATTCACGAATAGGTTCACTTGAAGGATTGTTGTCTAAAGCAAAACAAGATAATTGCAAGGTATTATTATTAAAAGTTTTTTTTTTTAATGGACATCAATTACAGAAATGTGTACTTGAATGTGTTCAGAATGTACTTTCCTCTGTGAAAATAAAACTGCCCTGTAGGAAAGCTCTTCAAAAAGAAAAATTAAAAAAAATTTTTAATCTATTGTATCTAGTTAAAATAATTGTATCAATTCCTGCACAATTATAATATATTATAAATATAAAATATTAAAACACTTTTTTAAACTGTTTATAACTATAATCTAATTTAAATTATATTAATTTCCAAGCTATTTAATTCTTCCTTTCTAAATAGGTGATAGTCCTTTTTTTTTTTTTTTTTTTTTAATGTAAAAACTGGTTTTTGATGAGACATGTCAAGCCTACCGAAAACTGTCAAAATCTGACAAAACTGTCAGAAACATGGGGCAAGTTTCTTTTTTGTCATTGAGAACATGCTATTAGGCAAGATATTAAATCCTGCTCAATACTTGCATTATATACTACAGTGCAGAACCCGTTATCCGGAAATC